TTCCACACAAATGTTAATTAATAAATGAAATAATAACTTTATAATAATTTGTTAACAACTACTCTGATCCCTACATTCATCGTTTGTTCCACTAATATACAGGGTGAGCAAGTATTGGATCCGAGATCCGAATCTGATTTGAAAATCTTTAAATCGAATGTTCCGAATATCCGATATTAGAAATACTATATAATAATTTTTAATATTTAATTTTTTAAAGAAAATGCAAAATAATACCCAATTTATTTGATATTTGGATCGGATATTTAAATTTGTAATCGGATATCTGAAATCCAAAATATTTCGGATATCCGAAAATCCGAAGTTCTGAAAATTAATATCCGGATAGGTATCTAATGTCTGAAATTTTCGGATCAGATATCCTAAAATATCGAATCGGATGCGGATTAGATCTTCAGATATTCGGACAATTTTGCTCAGCTATACTAATATTCCGTATATTTTAAGACAATAAATAATAAACACATTTATTTATTTTTAAGTTTCTAAGATGAACTTAGACTAGTATTTCTCTTTTTTATTATATACTTTGCTTGTTTGATTAAAGTTGCAACAATTCTCTAGCTTTTAATAAGTGTCAAATACTATTTTCACCGAAATACACATACATGAGATCTTGTTATATTCATATCAATGTGTACTTAAAATTCTCTGATAACAAATTAATCAGCAATGGTGAATGGTCATATATATCTTAATGCATCTTCGTTCAAAAAACATTTTTAACATATGGCTAGGCCATCTATTTCTTTTACAAATTAGTGTATATTTGTATACCAAGTATATATATTCGTATATATATATTTTTTGGGGGGTTGGTAAGGAAAAGGGTCCTACCAAGTTAAAATCTTTCACAGGTCCTCCTGGCCTGGGCACTTTAAAAGTGGGGAGAAAGGGTAGGGAATCCCCACCTCAAAGTGCTTCTAGTGGGGTTTGATCCCACAATCTCAAAGTTGAGAGATGCAAACCTTACCGCTAGACCAAACTTTGCTTGGTACTCTGTATATTTTTTGATGGAGTATTGGTTGTATACAATATCTGACATATATATACAAGACACAGTCAATACATGCAAGCAACATCATGTATAGTGTGTAGTCTGCTGTAAACTCAGCAATCAATACTCATATTATGTTATACAACGAAATTTTCAACTCTTAATTTTTAATCAGATACTGATCATTTCCTGATTGGTATAAATATTGATATGTAATTAAATTGTAATAATGCATTTAAGAGTGCCAAATTGGTCAACTATAGATTACAAAATTATCATCAAATCGAAGTATATCATGCGTAAATAACGGAGTATATGTACATATATAATATCCTACTACTTCGTATATATAATTGCATTGGGTAGATCTCATAACCTCAATTATAATTTAGTAATCTACTGAATCATAATTTGGAATATAATTTATTTTGTAAGGGGTTTTTTGTACATATAAACGTATTTTAATATGCAAAACATCTGACATACTTCCCTTGTTAGATGCGCAATTTTAGATGGTTTTTCTATTGGAGCAATCTGATTAAGTATTGATATACCATTTGTCTAATAAAGTTAGGTACTTGATCACGTGGTTACATTCATCATTAGGTATCAGCATTCAGCAATCAGTCTTTTGGAGAAAATAACTACTCCAATATCATGTTGTGCTTTGATTTTAGTCGGTTTGAGATTTAATTTGTCTTTCCAACATTATTATGATTAATTTTGAGTATTTGATTATTGAAACACAATGCGGTCGAGGCAGCATTTTGTGAGAAATTTAGAAATTTATCACAGGGTAAATTCGTCAATTTAAGCGAGTCTTTGAAATTTGATGATGTATTGGGAAAAGAATTCCATTTGCCACATAGGCAACCCATTCGTCACAGGTATTTTCGTTTTTTTTTTTTTTTTGGTGCAAACGAGGGGCTAAGCTCCAAAAGGAAACTTAAAACATAAATAAAAAACTAAGGTGGAGCAAACCGAGGGAATGCCACACCAACTCTATCCTCATGTAAAATACGGTCTAAAGCTAAGGCCGGAACTAAACCAACTCCACTTTATTGTTCAATGAAACTCCTGACTTGACAAGCCAATCAACTGCTCTATTTACTTCGCGATAAATATGCATCACCTCCCCTAACCATATTTTTGTTCTTGTTACGATGGCAACAATATTTATGAAATTGTAGTTAACTATCTAAAACAATTCTTAACTCGAATGTGTTGATTTTAGATCGTCAACGACTCAATGTTGCGTACGTGAACCTAGGGACTCAACAGGTAGTTACATTACTAAAGCAGTGGTCTTGCGCTTGGGCAATCGGCCCAACAAAATTTTGGCCCAAAAACAGATAAGGCCCACATCCCGTAGATTTATGGGGGCCTTGTTTATCGGCCCAACTCCAATTCTATTATACAGATTAGGGAGTACTTCGTACCATTTATTCGTTGACAGAAGCTCAATCTTCCAGGGAATGCTGAGCCAACAACGTGTAATGCCAAGTGGCCCAAGTGCCACCCCATATTACACTTGTGGCTCTATTTTATTACTCGTAAAAGTCGTAATATATTATCCCTCATATGGATAATCTACTAAAAATAATAGATTCGTCCAGAGAGTGAGGGATAGCTCAAGTGGTTAGAGTGTCCCTCTCAATTTTAGAAGATCCTGAAATTGATTCTCATCACCACCCGCCCTTGTGGCTCTCCAAACACCAAAAAGAAAAATTAATAGATTCGCCCAACCTCAATGTATCGATCAGATTGAGTACTCTATATTTATTTTTATTAATCCGTATAGGGTTTTTTTCCTTGAAAATTCTTGAGTTGAAAGGACAAAAACATTTCCAGATAAGTGAAGAGTCGTGATTGGTAACATATAACGACTAATGCCACATATAATTACAAGTATCTGTTATCGGAATCTAAATAAGTGAATACTGAATAATATATCCAAGAACTAAAAACCAAATATGTTAATCTCAAAAGAAATACGACATCAAATAGATTGTCACTTTCTCCAAAGTAATAAAAGATAAATTTCCTTTTTTTGTAGACCTCTAATTAGAATATTAAAAAAAAATTAAAAAAAAATATATAAAATGACAATTCATGTTTTTTTAGGGGGCAAAAATAACAACACTTGGTGAAGTTTGTAATATGCATGCATCATCTTCTTTTATTTCATTCTTTCAAAAAAAAAAAAAAAAAAAAACTTCTTTTATTTCATTCAGTTGTAGAAAAGCTGTTAAAACAGAAGGTGATGTTTTAATTTGGATTCTGTTTTAACATTATTTTTAATTATGTCATACGAAGTATTATTCATATTATATAAATATGTGCATGTAGTACCATATACGTAATGGTCCACAAATTAAACATAACACATGAGTGAGATCGATCGAGAGAGATGGGGAGTAGATGGATGGATGATGCATGGCAGCATGGGGATGAATGTGGATTTCTGCATGCATTTTCACATTTTATAATTGATTTATCTCTTAAATTTGCTTAGCAAATGTAATGTAAAATGTACAACTAAAAGTGGTTTTAGTTTAAAGGTAGGTGTTATGATCTGGAAAGGCGATATGTACCTAAAATATACAATTAAGTTTCGTTTATGTTAATTATTATGTATGGCTTTCTGATTTCTCAAAATGAAAATGTATGGCTCTCTGAACAAAGAAAAAATAATTATATCGTATATTATATGAGTAATAAGTATAATAATTTCTATTCCCTCTAACTAATTAATTAATTAATATAACTACTCAGTATTTTTTATGATTGTGTACCTCTAAACACTAATTCTAAAGTAAACAACTAAAAGGAAAACAAATCTGAAATTTAATGGGAGAAACTGTCCCATTTTCTCTATATTAAATCCAACCATAAAATATCCAAAAAAAATTAAAACAAAAATGTATAATTAATCTGCCCAACCCTACTAAATGGCATAAATGGTGGTCCTATAGGAGTGAAATGGTAAGGAGTCTAGGGAGGGGTCATATACTTTTGACTCTTTAGCATGAGATGGATCAATGTTTAATCTGTGTTTCAACTAATTAGGGCTAATTAAAACCTATTTCAGATTGAAATACGGAGCTTCACTTACATCCATCTCCTCTACCCATTATTTACTGAACTCATCACTACGATACATTCTTTTTATAATACATAAAATTATTATAAATTAGATAGTCGATAGGTGAATGCCTAAATTTACATAATTTTGCGATTAATTTCTTTTTAGTGTTGTAACTACTGCTCTTCCGTCATAAAACCTGTGGTTAAATATAGTGGAATTAGAGTTGGAAATCATAATACTATTTATAAATATATAAGAATTGAAGTGAGTGAAAATCATTTAGTGGACTCTAGTCTTAGTCACATCCATCATACGCCAATAATACAAAGAAATTGTTAATGACGCCTAAAATTATTAGTGGGATCGAATATGTGTAGCCCACTTCTTAATTAGGGGTTACACTCTCTAATTGTCGCATGAGAACTGAGTAATTAGTGTATCTGGCTTACGTAGTTTAATTTAATTATTGATTTAATATGACGAGAACTTAGTACATTTATAAATATACACCGATAAATAAGCTTAAGTGATTGTCTGATTAAATGTAATTTTTACCATTAATAACGAATCTTGATCAATCTCTTATCGCTATATTTATAATATTTATAAAAGAAAATTGATATGAGAAAGGACGTGGTACTTTATACAATTATAATAGATCCAATAGTTATATATTTTGACATCATAAATATATACATCTTGAGAAATTAATGGTTAACATTAACAAATCTAATAATCGAGCACATTACAATCATGAATAATTTAATAAGCTACAAGTTAAGGATGCATTGCATGGTCCTACAATAATCTCTAAATTGTAAATTGTAAATGTACCACAATTGTGTGGTCGTCCTTCTACACGTAACCCATTTTTGCCCTTCCTATTAAATGTCTTCATCGTGACCTTTCAACTGCTTATTTCATTTCATATACATCATCTCTCATACTTGTTTCCATTCTTTCTCACCACTTCAGTTCATACATTATATTATCAACTACTTGTATATAGAAAATTAAAGGTTTATACAAATATAGTCATTATTCTCTCAGGTATGTTACTTTCTATCTCCCTTTAACTCTCGTGATCTTGAGATTACACGTTCAAATTTTATTACCAGGGTTATTGAGGATATCCCTCAACTTGCCTCTCAAGGGTCTGGATTGATCGACCCTTGAAGGGTTGTAGAGTCTTTTATCATGGCATCTTAAAAAAAGTATATGTTTGAGGGTTTAATTATTGAATAATAACGTTCATTATCTTGCAGGGCAATCGAAAAGATTACAATGGTGACAATGGGGTTGGAGAGGTTGATGGTGACATTGAAGACAAAGTTGGCTAGGTCTTTTAAGGGGAAAAAGCTCTACGAATATGATGAGATTGAGAAGAGTGAGAGTATGAGGATAGAGATAAGAAGTAAAAAAGCACGAAAGTTGATTGAAGAGACTCTCAAAGTTGCCGATTCTCCTACTAAGAGAAGTGTTTCCATTTGACATAAAATCAAGAAGCTAAGGTCGTTTATTTTACAATTCAGGATAGTTATGCGGAGCATCTACATGGAAGCAAATTGTGTAGTCGATTATTTTACCTCATTCGATAATCACATTCAAGATTAAGACTAGAATACACCGGCTTTTCTACTAAGAGAAGCTATTTAATTTATAAGGAGTATTAATAGTTTAATATGGTTTTAATAAACCTTGAGAAAAGGTTACCATAAAACCATCATCTTTGTATTTTCCAAAAAAAAAAAAAAAAAAAAGTTTGCAAATTGTATGAATTTTTATGGTAACATTTGAGTTATGAATTATGATCATATTGTGGTTTTTGTTGTGCATGCTTTCTGTTTCTACATGAACAAAGTTTTGTTTTTATCTTACTGACTTTAACTGAAAAGTTACTTTTAAACTAACTAAATAATAGTAGCTTATATAGGAGCTTCCTAATTTTATTTTTTTAGTATTATTGAAGATAAATATTCATGACTAAAAGCTACCTAAATGATTCCAAATACAGCCATAGACAAGTAGCATAAGCCAGTATAAACATTACAATTGCGTTATAAATATTGTTGTCCTACAATGGGTAAAATTTCATTAATTCTTTTGTTGGTATAGTTGTTGGAAAGATTATATTGATTTCACTATTACTCCATACTTAATTTATATGTAAGAAACAAATCGTAACATACTAGACTATTAAGTACTAATACTATATACTTCGTATTTAATTAATCACACTACAAGTACGTTTGTACTTAACAGTTAACACTTGTGTCGACTAGAACCTTACTTCTTCACCAATTCGGGTTTGGGCTTGAGATAATTCTACGCACCCTATGCTTAGGTGCTCTATTTGTAACTTTGTAAGCTAAGTACTTAGCTCTCATGGGATTAGAGGGATAAGTGGATAACCGATACTCATGATCCATATAAGAAATTCATTTTGTTCACACACTTTGTCATCAACTCATCACGACATTAATTTTTTTGTGTGAAGTCATTTTCGTATAGATGAAATTAGAATAGACTAGTAATTTTAATACTATGATAGAATATCATGACTCATGAAGTCATGATAGCTTGTACTAAATGTATTTGTTTCTCATTTAATACATTGTATAGGTTTAATATTAATACAGACATAAAAGGACGATCTAAATTCAATGAAACACCAAATAATGCATTTAACACTTTGATTATGTTTTCTAATCAAAATAGTGCAGTAGTCAATTAATACTCCATCATGTATATTCGGTAATTTAATAACTTAAAATTATTGAGGATGGGTCCTATGCGGATAGCCCTTTGGAGAAGTAGTTATCTATACCAGTTAGATTGGGCTTTTTAATGGGTTATATATTTGGACCTATAATGCGTAGTCCAGTTGAGAATTTGGATGTGGTGAGTCTAGTACCCCTAAGCCCTTCACATTGGCCAGATTCGGACCCCAAATCGAATATGAGTCAAATTTTGTTTAGTCTAATAATTTTGGCCACAATTGAAAAGGTCTTATCAATAAAATTTCCTTTACCCGCGATCTAGGCATAGGTATCAAACTATCAATCCATTCTAAAATTCTTCTCATTACCCCTTAGTGGAAAAACGATTACACATATAAAGAATATTTTTTGGTGTTTAAAGAGCCATAAGGACGGATGATGAGAATTGATCTCAAAATCTCTTAAAACTGGGAAGGGGGCTCAAACCACTTGAGCTATTCTTCACTCTCTTGTTTAGTCTAATAATACGTAGTATGATTTTTACAATGATATTTATTCTTTTAATCACATAAACTTGATCATACAAGTTGAATTAGGCTTGTAAACTTGGTAAAACTACATCACTACTTCAGGTTGTTTAACATTGGGCTGAGCTAGCTTGCTTGTATGCTTCGTATCTACTAACAAACTTTGTCAACCCTAATTGTTGACCACAAAATTTGTTATACTAGTAGATAAAATGACGCTATCTGGTATAAGTAAACTTCTTACATTAGAACAAAGATGTACTACCTCCGTTTCATATTTTTTGCAACTTTGAGATATTATTTGTAAGACATAAAATATTCCAAAGTTGCAAAAAATATGAAACAAAGGTAGTAAAACACTTAATCGCATGGGTCATCCTAATTAAGTTTCTTAAAATAATTGCAAGTATCTCATAAACAATCTTATAAATAAATTAATCGAGACTATGGATTTTTTTTTTTTTTTTAAATTACGGCGCCATAGAAAAGATAATCAATTAAAAAGACTCCATAGTCCATAGTAAACATTAAGTTGTTCGTGAATTTAAACGAGTAAAGAACCAAATACCATGAACACAAATACAACCATACCGGCTAAACTTTAATACTAGTAGCCAATTTTGATGGTGCTGAAATACACACGAGTGAGAAAATCAGAAATCACACAATCTAACAAGTGTCAATTACTTGTAATGCGGAGTACCTTCTTTTTGCATGGAACCAAGCAGAGCATGCATGAACCCCCAAATTACCACCATTACCTAAAAAATGTTGCATATTTATCTTCCCAACACCCATAATCATCATCATGCTTAAATCCTTCTTTCCCTCTTTTAAACCCCAATTACTCTCCACTTCCCTTCATTTTCTTGCATTCTTCATCCCTTAAATTTCCATAAACCACAAAAAAAACAACCATCAAACACCCTTGAACAACAAAAATGGCCGTAATCAAACTCGAAAACTCGACTACAACACCAACGACAACACCAACAACGACAACAACATCGCAATTTCTATTCCCAACATCGAATTCAAAACACATTCCCGACCCATCTAAATACTTCTCCTCACCCCTCCTATCCTCACCACTCTAACTTTATCGTCGGAAACGCCGACCAACCATCTTTCGTCCACCCATACCTTATAAAACTTTCTCCCTCCTCATTTTCTCTCTCCTACCCATCAATCTCCTCATCTTCCTCTTCCATTTCCCACTCTTTCTCCCCCGATCTCACCATATCTACTCCTCAATCTTCCCGCCATTTTGTCTCCTCCTTCAGTGACCTCACTGTAACCCTAGATTTCTCCTCTTCTGATTTTCGATTCATCTTAGCTAGAGGATGTCCCTACATTACTCTAGAAGTTTCCAGAACTTTACCCCTCTCTTTTTCCACAAAATCCGCCATTAATTCTCTCTCTTCTCCAACCCCCAGAAAACACAAAGTCGAGCTTCAAAACGAGCAAATCTGGATAATTTACTCTTCTTCTGATTTGAATCTTGAGAAAAAAGATGATACCCATTTTGTTAGTTCAAAATTATTTTCTGGGGTTGTTAGAATTGCGATTTTACCAGATGAAAAAACCCAGAAGAATGAAGAAATCCTCGATTTATACAGTACTTGTTACCCTGTTAATGGCGAAGCAATTTTTGCAACCCCATTTAAGTTGGATTATAAATGGGAGAAAAAAGGGTGGGGAGATCAATTGTTAATTCTAGCCCATCCACTGCATCTTAAGCTAATTTCTGCTTATAATTCTGGGATTAGGGTTCTTGATAATTTTAAGTATAAATCAATTGATGGGGAATTAGTTGCTGTAATTAGAAATCAATGGAGTATTAGGGTTAATAATGTTCCAATTTCATGGCACTCGAATCGAGGAATTTCTGAAGAAAATTACCCAGAAATTGTTAGTGCACTTTGGAAATATGGTGGTTTGAATTCATCCCCAATTTCAACCACCCATTCTTATCATTATGCAATGCAGGTTGCTAGAATTGCTAGATGGGGTTAAATTGCGGAAGAAATTAATTGCATGGAGTTAATCCCAGCAATTAAGATGTCTTTAAGGGAATATATTGAACCTTGGTTAGTGGATAATTTTGAGAAAAATGGGTTTTTGTATGATGAAAAATGGGGTGGTATTGTTTGTAAATCGGGTTCTTCGTACCCGTTAGCCGATTACGGGTTTGGTAGGTACAATAATCATCATTTTACATTGGGTTATTTTGTGTTTAGTATTGCTGTTTTGGCAAAATTTGATGATGAATGGGGTATGAAGTTTAAGGATCATGCATATGCATTGGTTGCATCTTATATGAGCTTAGGGAAGAATAAAGCGAAATCTAAGTACACAAAAATTAGGTCATTTGATCCTTATAAGTTACATTCATGGACAAATTGTTTACATGATAATCATCCTCGGCATTCTGAGATTCCGAGTGTTTCGATCAATGCTTATTACTCGGCTTCGCTATTGGGTATGGTGTATGGTGATGATCATCTAGTGACTGTTGGATCGACACTAGCCTCGTTTGAGATCGAGGCTGTTAAAACATGGTGGCATGTTAAGGAGGGTGGTGTGTATGAGGGGGAGTTTAGTAAGAAGAATAAGATGGTTGGTTTATGTTGGGAGTATAAGAGAGACGGTAAATTATGGTTTACAGTAGCTGAGAATAAGGAGTGAAGGGTTGGTATTCAGGTTCTTCCTATAACGCCCGTGTTATCTGAGATTTTATTTTCCGATGTCGGGTTTGTTAGGGATGTTGTCGAATGGGCGTTGCCGTCTTTGGCGAGGAAGGAAGCTACTGATGGTTGGAAGGGTTTTGTTTATGCATTGGAAGCAATTTATGATCACAAGAATGCATTGAAGAAGATAAGGGATTTGAAAGGTTTTCATGAAGGAAACTCGCTTTCGAATATGTTGTGGTGGGTTCATAGTATGACTGGGAAGAAGAATGTGCGATCTTGGTGTAAGAAAGAAGCCAATGATTGCTGGTTTTGCACCTATTGCTGCTGATTTCAACTTGTTAATGACTTAGTGCTGCACTTCCCTAGTTTTGTGCAATGTAGTTCCTTGAGCTCTTGTAGTAGTCTTTGCTTGTTTAGTTTAATTGAGCACTTGTACTAGCTTTTACTACCACACCTTATAGACTACGCTATGGTCTTGTTCGGTAATTAACGGCTTAATGCCTTACTCTCTTAGTTTTTTGTAAGTACAAGTTGCTTGAGCTCTTGTTAGTCTTTGCTTGTACAAGTTTATTGAGCTCTAGTATTAGTTTTTGCTACCACTATACACATTTTAGATTATGGCCTTGTTGGTGGTAGCAAATAGTGTTTTGACCTTTGAATCGGTTGTTTAATCAAATTTCCTATTTGTACTACTAATTTGCTAGTGAAAAAGTTTGTTAAATTTGCCTCGTTTTTCATAAAGTGGGTATTTTCATTTTTCAGCAGTTAGAATGCAAAGCCAAAGCAACAAGCTACAAACAAAGATTACGTTTACGAGTATTAATGAATTGGCAACAAAGCTGGAATAGCTCAGTTGGTTAGAGCGTGTGGCTGTTAACCACAAGGTCGGAGGTTCGACCCCTCCTTCTAGCGATGTTTTTTAAAATTCTTTTTGTGTCGTTACATACAGCAATCTCAGTTGATGTAGTATTTTAGTTGTTCATTCAAGTTATACCATGTTATCTGCTATTGAACAGTTACTTTGAAGCTTAGTGAAACAGAGAACAATGGTTGACAAATGTTTATTTCAAGATCAAATGAAGACAAATATAATGAACAGGTTGACAACAGATGTTTATTTCGAGTTCAGATGACGCCAAATTTAATAAATCGCTTAAGAGCAAGATTATTTGCAATGTTACACACACAAATATGTATATGAAGTGTCTAAAATGCAGTTATGCAGAGCTTACTTGAATCTCTTGATCACGGCATTTGCAATGTCGAGATTAATCCTTCAGCTCTTGGAAATTCAGTGAATAGTTAAGTGCCAAAGACCATGTTAAATTTCACCATAATTTTAGTCTGAAGATCTAATTTATAGGTAAGAGCATTAATACTAAAACAAATTTCTATACAGCTTTAACAATAAGCTGGAATAGCTCAGTTGGTTAGAGCGTGTGGCTGTTAACCACAAGGTCGGAGGTTCGACCCCTCCTTCTAGCGCAACATTTTTAATTTCTTTTTAGAAAATGCAAATTGTAATTAATATACACATTACCTTATGCAATTAGAATGTATAGGCCGAAAGGAATATCATCTCCATTTCCCTTGGGTGCACCGTGCATCCGGGTGTATATAACGATTTCTATCTATTTGAAGCTCGTCAATTTTTTTTTGATACAACTGGCATCGGCTACATCCACCTTAAATTGGAGAATGGAGATCTCTGTGGTTGCAATTACACATCATACAGGCATTACCTTATGCAATTAGAATGTATAAGCCGAAAGGAATATCATCTCCATTTCCCTTGGGTGCACCGTGCATCCGGGTGTATATAACGATTTCTATCTATTTGAAGCTCGTCAATTTTTTTTTGATGCAACTGGCATCGGCTACATCCACCTTAAATTGGAGAATGGAGATCTCTGTGGTTGCAATTACACATCATACAGGCATTACCTTATGCAATTAGAATGTATAAGCCGAAAGGAATATCATCTCCATTTCCCTTGGGTGCACCGTGCATCCGGGTGTATATAACGATTTCTATCTATTTGAAGCTCGTCAATTTTTTTTTGATGCAACTGGCATCGGCTACATCCACCTTAAATTGGAGAATGGAGATCTCTGTGGTTGCAATTACACATCATACAGGCATAGATGTAAAACATTGCTGCTAGCAGCCAATATAAGTCTTGCAGCAAACACATGAAAGAGGCATTTTTAAAACACCCAAAATTACATTGTGTTTCTAAGGTAAAATGCACTTCCAAATGAGAGTATCCAAAAGTGTTCTACAACTCTACAATTATCTGGGTTGAAGTTCAAGTCCTAGCAGTTTGATCTCTTTGATGGAGTTTTCTATAATGATCAGCCTTATTCTGCCTGAAAGCCCGGCATCCAATATTAAAAACAATAATGAGGACAACGAGCAGTATGACAATCCCCGGAAACAACCTCTTCCACAGTACGGCGAGTTGGCTAACAAATCCCTCTGTACAAGTACTGCAGTAGTAGCACATTGTTTTGGTGTCCCTATTCCAAACATCGCAGTCATGTTTCGTCAAAAAGTTCACAGTACAGTTGGCAGGTTGGCGGCAGCAACCTTGCTGTGTAAAACATAAACAAAATTTTGTCAGGTTTGCTACAAGGAGTCACCGATAATGATGTGGACGTGTTATAATCATGAATGTTATGAGCACCGACACACATCATCAAGTCTAAAGGATCCTAATGCAAACAGTCTAAGATGAGTTTTTATGTGCTTAACTTTATACATACATTATCTTGGAACAAGCTAATTTTATTTTATTTTATTTTTAATCAACTACGAAGTACTGCATTATTTAGGGGCAGGGTGAATTCAAGTTCATATTGTTTCACATCCTACGAATATTAAAAATAGTGTAACAAACCTTAAGGTTGTTTGAAAAGAAGAAGTTATCCTTTAGGTCATGACAACAAATATCCTTGCGGATCAAGCACTTCCTGACTACGGACCAGTCAGCTATACCCATCGCTTGATCTTGGAACCAGAAAGTGAAGTCATTAAGCTTGTGAGGCTTCCCAACATCAAGGCGGACAGCACCTTTGGCGATAACAACAATCCAAAGCAGAACAGTAATTGCCACCACCAAAATGAGGATCAAATAGACGAACAAGTAGAGCCACATAATGAAAAGGGAGCGGCAGCAACTCCCAATTAGTCCTAATAATGATATGACCACAAGCAGGATACCTATTCTAAGACAAGGTGAATTCAGGAGAGAAAAGCAGGTCATGTCCTTATGGGTGGCCAAGAATATCCTAAGGCATAAAAGGAAGCATCCAATTAGGAGAGTTATCAAATTTATGCAGGCTGTGATGCCATTGCTTCGACGTGCCATTTCAAGGGATCTCTTGAATTAAATCTGATGGTCGGAAAGAAATGGAGGTTGGAAAGGTTTGGGGAAGGAAATCGAGGTTTTTATGGGTGTTTTGCAACAAAAAAAGGTGGTACCTTAATTATATTCAAGCTGGACCTGGGAAAATATATATTAAGCTAGGAAGGAATCTGTCATTGTATGGAATATTTTATGTTTTCATTAAGAATTCATGAATTCATTGCATGAATTCGCATATTTCCCTGTTATTAGTTTGTTTTAGGGGTAACAATATAGTAGCAATCCGAATTTAGTTAATGTAATGACAACACCAAACCAACCCTGCCCCATTCAAAAATATAGGCTGTAAAATAGAATTCTGTATTTAGCTATAACATAATTGTTCATTCTATTTAGTGACCAACTCCCATTTAACCCATTTTTGGTTAGTAATGTCAAAAACAAAATCCACAATATTATGGCATTACATGTTGTGATTTTCTCAGCGCAATGCATAATCAAAACAAAACAGAAATTGAAGATTATCAATCCATCATTATTTCAGGTTCATACGAAATTGGGATCAGATGTAGATTCATTTTGTAAAAAGCTTATCCTTGATGGATCTAACAAACTAACAACACCGACAATTACAAAAATCTTGCATGAACATCACAGAGCAAGGGGAACATTACATAAGTCTAGAAGCCAAATGAAAGACATGTTATTTTGTAGAAAAATTGGTTTCATAAACCATGACAGTCAAACAACTCCTACCTTACAATGCATATTGATAGACTGATAAGTTTTTCTTAACTTAAGATGATTTAGTTCAATCTGAAAACATTTATCACACACATCAAACAGGCTAATAATAACAATTTTTTAAGCTCCCAAGCAACAATCTAACCGAAAATATATTACTGAAAGGAAAGAAGCCCGGAGCATGCATACCTTTAAATTTTAGGACTCAGCTCTTCAAGACACACGTTGGGGGATTTTGGCAAGTGATTCTCGTATCTTCTCCTCAGAAAAGGACAGATCGACTAATTTTCCTTGCAAAAAGCTGTCATAGGCTGGCAAGTCAAAGTGGCCATGTCCACACATTGCCATCAGAATCACTTTAGATTCTCCCGTTTCTTTGCAATGAAGAGCCTCCCTGATAACAGCGGCTAAGGCATGGGTTGGTTCTGGTGCAGGGATTAGTCCTTCAGACCTTGCAAATTGTATGGCTCCTGATGTATATCAGAGTAGGTTCAGATCATACTAAAGTTTCATTCAGTTGAGCCAAACAAATTTACTATCATGGAATTTCTTGCTATGCCATTGCGTGCTAGCAAATTTACAGGAAGATTATAAGAAGTACAAGCTTGAAGATTACAAGGGAGTAAGATTACCTTGGAAACATTCAGTTTGTGGAATAGCCACTGCTTCCATCAAACCCAATTCATATGCATGTGAAATCAATGGTGCCATACCATGGTAACGCAGCCCACCTACACAATCATACCAACATTATCATAAATTAATAACGCCGTTATTAATCGGGGTTTTCTGAAGTATATAGACTAGGAACAATGAGAGAATACCGGAATGGATAGGGTCTGGGATGAAGTCATGACCAAGAGTGTGCATCTTCAGCAACGGAGTCATCCCAGCAGTATCACCGTAATCATAAGTAAACACCCCTTTGGTCAAGGAAGGGCAAGCAGCAGGCTCAACAGCTCTTATGAGAGGATTCATTTTACCACTCAGTTTTTCCCTAATAAAAGGGAAACATAGCCCTCCAAAATTGGACCCTCCACCAGTACACCCAATTATCACGTCAGGGGTCTCACCAAATGCTTCCATCTGTTTTATACATTCCTCGCCTATAATAGTCTGATGTAACAGGACGTGATTAAGCACACTTCCTAGACAGTATTTTGTATCAGGATTTGCTGCAGCAACCTCTACGGCTTCTGATATTGCTATTCCTAGACTGCCAGGGCTCAATGGATCTAATTGCAGGATATTCCGGCCTGCATTAGTTAAGTCAGATGGTGACGGATGAACCTTGGCACCCCAAGTCTGCATCATCAGTTTCCTATAAGGTTTCTGATCATATGAGGCACGAACTTGCCACACCTACAAATTATCAGCCAATCATTGTGAAAACACACACATTAGAATAAGAAACGTGCAAACCGGAAAAGGAACTCATATAGTCATATGCAGGAAAAGCTTTACACTTAGGCCCTCTTGTTTACTTTATGCACCCATTCATCAATGCATTTAGCACAAGTTTTCTGCTTATGTATAGTTCAGTGAAAAGCACGAAAGACACACAAGACACAACCGCATCAATGAACATAATAGAGAAACACTTATACAATTAGGCCAATCCTATTATCTCTGGGTGTACATCATTAGCTTTAAGAAAGCTCCAACTGACATAACTCATGTGCACCAAAACTGAGGTTAAGAACATGAAAAAGAAAGGAACAAAGTTCTCGAAAGAATATGAGAACCCTAGATGATTTTCAAAAGGAAATATATGCTACATAGAAGAATTAGCAAAACAAAAAAAGTAGCCTAGCATATATATGCTGAGAATAACCAAAAGTATGCAAATTGTCATCATTTCTTCCTGGTAAAAGAAAATTCAATCAAAGAGATCAGACAGAATATGTGAAACAAAAATTGAAGAAACACACAATCAAGTAACTCTTACTTCGCAATCTAGGTTGAATATGCTGCAAGCAAAGGCAAGGGCACTACCCCATTGTCCAGCTCCAGTTTCAGTCACAATCTTTTTGACACCTGCTTGCACATTGTACCAAGCTTGTGGTACTGAACTGTTAGGTTTATGTGATCCTGCAGGGCTAACACCTTCATACTTGTAATAAATCCTCGCAGGAGTTCCAAGGAGCTTCTCCAATCTCTTGGCTCTACATTTATGTATGAAAATAAATTTGAATGCACACTCTTACATGGATTTCAACAAGTTTACTTTCGCATTAAAAGATTTACAAACATAAGGCAATCGAAAATATACTAAAAAGACAAACAGAACCTGATAAGAGGAGTTGGCCTCCATAGACTATAAACATCAATAACCTCCTCCGGTATTTCAATAAATCTTTCATTGCTCACTTCCTGCTTGATCAACTCTTCAGGGAAGAGAGGTTCCAAATCTTCCGGTTTGACAGGCTCAAAAGTCCGAGGATTCAGGGGTGGAGCGGGTTTAACAGAAAGATCAGCAGTTATGTTATACCAATGTTTTGGGATTTCGATTCCTCGTGAATCAGCATATGCAGCAGCTTGTGCTCTTACTTTAAATCCAGTGGAAACCTTCACAAATTTCAATGACTTAGTATTCAATGATGAATACCTGATGCCTGGTCCATCACCTAAACAAAATGAATTCAGTTTAGTCCTAACTGTCTAAGACAGTAAAGTATCAGAATTCAACTGTAAAAATTCTTCATAACATTGTTTACAGTTAAAGCTCAAACTATCAAATTATATATTCAAAACCACAATAATTGGACTAATCATTTAATTTGAACATAATTCTTCCTCCATTCATAATGCACTCGAGCTTTTTAAGGTCGAACTTTGACTATTAATATTTCTCAAAATAGATTTACAAAAATTATGAAAAACATTATGTAATGGTGAAAACCATCCAACCAGATCACAGGAGACAGGGTTAGGCCTACCTCATGGCCATAAACAACCAACAATCTAAGTATGAAATACATCCAATATTTGACTTTCTTATTGTAATGGTGCAACCTAACATTAACAGTAAGATAAAATTGCCCAAATCTAGATAATTTGATCCAAAATCATGCAATGTACTACTCCTTCCGTCTCTAAACGTTGTTCTTACTTTTTGAAACAATCACCTCCAAAGCAGGAACAACTTTTTGAGACGGAGGGAGTACTATTTACAACTTTCAACTAACACAGTAAGAAAAAAAAAAATGGCAGTAAACTATCCAAACCCAGAAAAACCCAAAAATAATCAGTGAATATAAAGATTGCACTAAAAATATTTAGAGTTAAAGGAAGATTACCCTTGAAGTTGAAGCTTGGACAAACAGTCAGAGAAGAAGAAAGAAGAGCTTGAGTTGCCATTATTTTAGTTCAGTTTACTGAAATCAGTAAAACTTGAAACAAAGTTTGTACTCGTCTATAATATAAAAATTAATTAACCCACATTATTATAAACAAGAAAGGAAGGAAAGTTGTTTGCATTAAATTAGAATTGTTGGACTTTTAAATGATTCATGTGGTCTTTGGTAGAAAACTACAAATACAATGCAAGATTTAAGCGCAGCCCATTATGAAATGTGCCCACATCATAAATGAATGATTGGATTTTAAATGACGGTGTGAAACGCCTTGGTGTCAATTCGGATGATCGGATCGGATCTGATGAGGTCGAGTCGAGTCGGATCAGGTCAATTTTTAATGTTGAGTCACACTAAAATTAGAATGTCCGTGTGAATTGAAATCTAAATTGGATATTTTTCGGGTCGGTTTCGAATCGGGTGTGATTCTGACACCTCTACTTGGTAGTTGGTTCTAGTGATACTCTTTGCCTTCACTAGAATTCTAGATAGAGGTGATAAAATATCGTATCGTAATTCTAATATATTAGAATTACGACACGATTAGTAATCACCTCTATTCTAATATAATTTGCTGATTTAGAGGGTTAAATACTTTTAAATTTTATTTTGATGATGAGTCAAATTTATATTGGAAAAATAAATTTTAATATCAAAGGTAAAATAGAGCTTATCATGAGATTAAAAGTAACAAAGTACAAGAGATAGTTTAAAACATCACACGTACATGTTTGTATATACATTATTAACTAAACTCTGTGCACAGTTTTGACATGTTTACAAAATATTACAAGTCAATCCCATTTACACTGAATCTTATGTGTATGCTTGAAGTTGTACTTCATTATCAAAATCCCATCAATCCTCCTAACCAAGAAGCTCTCCACCAAAACATAACACCCAAATCTTTTCCATTTCATATTCTCTCTTCTCCTCCTTCCAATCTCTTCAACTCTCTCCACTCTCACATCATCTTCTTGGTTTTCCATCCATCCTCTTTCCATTTGTATCCCTCTCATGGCTTCGAACACCGCCAATCCCATCCCCAACCTCACCTTATTTCCATTGCCTGAACTGTTAGGCACTGTGAAACACACAAATCCTAGCATAGGTTTCACTTCTATCGTGGCTTCCGAGCCATAGACTAATACCTCTTCTCTTTTAACCATCGCGTCTATGACAATGGTGTCATCCTCTTCATTACCCCTATTTGGTCGCGAGTATATCTCTTCCCAATATTGCTCGAGGGTGATCTCATAGAACATCGATTTCTTCATGTGTCGCCACAACTTTGCCTCTTCCCTACATTAAAGTAACAATAACAATCATAAACATGACGATGCATATAAATGTTGATGCATAAAGGAGGTCCAAAACTATAAACACCAAAATTGAGCTTATTGTTTGTTGCTTACCTAAGAAACAAGAAGGGGCTATACCATCGTCCTACGATAACTGCAGCATGTTGATTCTGAGGTGGTAGAGGATAAGATGGAGGTGGAGGAAGAGATGCTTGGACAGACTCATCTAGGCCTAATGCATCGTGTATTTTTCCTCGAATAGAACGATAAACTCTTACCTCCCACCCTTTTTTTCGTAAGAATCGTGGAGGAACTCCATCATAAGCGACAGACTTAGCATAGAAGCCACCACCATGGTAACGGCGGATCTCAAACTGTTGGTAGATGTCTCTATAATCAAATGGCCTCGGTTTTATATCGTTTATAAAGTCAGAATAGCAGCAACAGGAGCATATGTCTGACTTTTTCGAGCTTGTGCATGCTTTCCTAATAAACAATGATAGAATTAGGAAAATTATAAGATTAAAAGAAAGAATATACAAGGATTTGCTCCAAAGTACCAATATAGGATCCCTTTCACATGATTTAAGTTCAACTTTGTACCATACCATGATCAAATAGTTTAATAACTGAAGGCATTAATGCTTTTATAAGATAAATTATGTATAATCACCAATTCAAATTCAATATCATATAACTTGGCCTCGAAAAGAGAGTTAGAGAGAGTACCCTTTGTGCTGGCCTTTAGCTCGTATAATGTAGTACCTATGAGCAGACAGTGGCTCACCAACAACCGGGAGAAACCAAACCTTAGTGACAGTAGGATCTCTGATGTCTGACGAATGAACAATCGACAGCATCTTGTTCTGAGGGAAGGGTAAAGTCTTAACCCTCTTATAATCACAGGCACCCCAACAGTAAGTATCCTGCTCTTCTGTTAAATCATCAGTTATAACTAATACTCCAGTATTTGGTGCATAATCTGGTGGCCTAATTGACAAGGAGCTTGGGTCTTTCCTGTATAATGACAGACCCCTTGTAACATACATTATCCTATGATCAAATATACTCTTAACAACTTTGATTTCTTTGTGATTGGTGAATCTGATTTCTTAATCTTATTGTATATGAGTTTATACATATATATATACAAGTATAGTCCACATTTTTTAAGTGTCATATCAACTTTAAATTGAGTGGTTATTTTTTAGTACTTTAATGTAGAATGATGTGGAGCTTTACTCTGTTTTTCATGCAAAGTGATTTCAATTATTGAATTTGTTAAATTTTTAGGTGAATGAAGCATTATTCCTTACAGATGAAGATATAAAGATAGTGCATCTTTAAGGCTGAAAGCAGTCATTGTTTTTTCTTTTATGTACCTTAGTGGGTCATACTGTATTTTAGTACATAACTTTGATATAGAGTGGTGTAAAGAAAGCAAAATAAGACAAACCCAAAAATCTGTATGCATATCCTGTAGTGACCAATAGTTTCATCCTCGAAAAAAAAAGCTGAAGTTAAAAATTAAAAATAATAAGCCACATTTGACTTTTATCGTTAAATTTCTTTGGTTTTAGTACTCATTGCTTAAGCCGTTAAGATAACATAACTAATTCCGGATAGAGGGGTTAGGATTTAACTTACTGCAAGGTCTATAATAACACCTCAAACTCTGGCTGAAAGTACAAATATTAAAGATGTAACACATGCTAATGAAGAAGGGTAGCAGGCATAAATCCACGAATTAATGCCATTTTGAGAAACATGTATTGCTTGTAATTATTAAGAATAAATTAATAACATGAGGTCTTCACTCTTTTATAAAAGAGGTACAGAAGAATCAGATTCCTATGACAAAATCTTCAGGAATGATACAAGTATCTGAATTCTCAGAAAGTGAATGCAGTATGTACACATCAAAACTTCGGTCAGTATCTGAACCATCAGAATGTGAATGCAGTAGATACAACAACATCAGCAGCAGGAAATTTGATAGCAGAACATCATATCATAAAGTTTATGCTGAGAGTAATTCAGCCAAAATCATGACAGTCATTGAATTTCAATCAGTTCCCTGAAGTCAGTCAGTTACCTTCCTTTTCCTGTGAGAGAAGATTAAAATTTCAGCTTCAGAAATGCTTTAATGATTCCCATCATCTCACTCCCTGGAAAACGGCCCAGACAACCCCTTGCAGCAGCAATCTCGCTCAATTCAGAAACTGAATCACCACAGAAAGCCTTCACTGAGGCTCTTATTTCATCGTCACATATGCACTCATCCCCTAGATCTTCCCCAGCATTCACAGTTGGAAGAGGAAAAGGTTCGAGGGAAGTTTCCATCAGGATTGATTCACCGCCTATTGCACCCACAAAGTCTCTCAATCGACATAGTGCAAAAGGAACAGGTTCAAAGCTGTGGTCCCCATAATCGACTGGTGTAGAGTGGTCACCCGTTACACAGAGGAAGTATTCAAACTTTCCTGTCAATTCAGCTTGCCAAAGCAGTTTAGCTAGCTGCCTTATTGCTCTATCAACAGCTTCTAACCCTTTGACTTTTAAAACACTTGCTTTATCATGGCCTGCATCATCTATTGCCTGCAAGAATAAATCAATTTGACATCACAAGAGAATATGAAAAATGGACTTGGAAAAAGTTGTCATGAATATGATCAAACCATCAAATACACTATGCTATCTCATATGGTGGGAGCTCTAATACTTGAGTAAAATTCGTGCTTCAGAAATCCTTCACAAAAAACATAAGCAAATACAAATCACAAAAGCAAACAATAGCTGATTAAAGGAAAAAAGAAAAAGATCGAAAATTTTCAGCAACTGTGCACAAACATATTGAAGAATGATACAGGTGTGGAACTGATGCAAAAAAAAACTGAATACAGGGAGTTCCTCTTGCCCTTGCTCCAGTTTGAAGTGTCCAAACTCCAAACAGTCCAAAGTTTACATTGTATCCAGGTGTCCAAGGGTGGGAACCAGGTTTGGTAGATATTAAAGGTACTAAGTATCAAAGTAGGGAATATATCAACGGTTAAATAGAGGAAAGTTGAATACCTTGATGTGCAGAAACCCAAAATCGTAACCATCAGAATGACCAGGCTTGTGCTCATCCTCCCCAGGAACAAAAACATTCGGGCAAGAGTTTAAAGGAGCTGAAAGAGCCCTGGCTATTGCAATCGCTTTGGAAGTTAGCAGGGTTCGATAGTCTCCTGTTGCTCCAGGAGCTTCAAGGATATCAATGCCAAGAGACATCCCAAGACCAGCAATGATCTTAGTAGGAGCAACCATGCATGGTCGTAGGCTGTGTTGCTTTTCAAATGGTGGTACCTGCAATAAGTGATGTCTAAGAAAAGACGTTGGATGAAAACAGAAACAACAAACAAATAAACAAACAAAATAACATTCAAAGCTAAAATATCCAACTCACTAAAGAAATCGACTAATATCATCTTTTTCCATGAGGCAATTTTTGAACTTTTTGTACATTCTATATTTCTTTTCTTCTAGTAGTTTGAAGCTAAATTTCAATAAACTACGAAACTAGACTAAACCACGTGACAGGATATGTACCACACAAGACTAACTTGACAAACTACTGAAAAGGCATGGATCATAGTTAAAACCAGATATGGCATAGAGCAATAAAATGATCATGCAATTAGCTAATTAAACAAGGTTTAACTGTCCAAGATTGGAAACTCAAGTAGGGAGATGAACCCATTTCCCAAGGATCACAAAATAAGTCCAGTCCATATAAAAATTATTACATCAACTTTTTTTCTATGAGGCACACATTAGCAAAACAATAATCTAGGAAGTGGAG